AGTGGGCAATAAATCTTACGCAAAATCTTTCTTTCGCAGACTCCCAACGCCGATTCACCAGATGTTGTCATCGTCCATGCCTCCGCACCATATAAATAGTAGAACGGGAACGACGAGCGACTTTTAGAGTTTGATTTTAGTTCGTCGAGAAAGGACTTCATTTTTCAATTGCCGACTCAGTCCAAAGTAGCAACTGTTAGCTAAAGTGATTCTGCGTTGGGTTTCAAAGCTGACATTATTCTTGGTATTAACACCGGTTCCAAGATAGGCGAAGTTATCTACGACTTCAAAATAAAGGCTGTCAATAGCGACGTCAGAGCAGAGTCGCGAATGCAATGACTTATTGTTTAATGTCGGGTGATATTTTCGTCCAATGTGTACCTATAATATCTGGGTCGGATCCCGCTGAGAAAAAAGGAGGACTTTTTCCAACCCAAAACCTCTGCGTAAGTAATACATTATTTTCATATTAATTTGTGGGATTTATTTACCATAATAAAGCGTTAATTTTTTTCAATTTAGGTAATGCCATTGTCCCTATTAGAACAAATTGGGAAATTTGATTTTCATGACCATCTCTTGGGGTCGAATCTTTACCAGTCAAATCATTCGCCATAGGTAGGAACAGAAGGTAATCAATTGTTGCGAGGTCCAGAAGATAAGGTGCTTGCATAAAAACCTCCCAACCAAGGAGAGTCACTATCGTTGTTGGGCACTTCTAGACGATTGCTTCCTTCAGACTGTCCAATTGCTGACAATACAGCTCCGAGGTAAAAGTTTGGCCGTATGAGGGCAGCTCATGGTGGATAATTTCGTGCCCAATCCCACCAAAGTAACAACAAAACATTCCTGGCTGCCTGTCCGTTCTTGGAGTCCATTTACGCCGATACGATGATGCTATATATGCTTCATAAATGGTTCGTTTTGGTTGCGATTCTGCAGTTATTCGTAGATCGAAATTTGTTACCGGAATTTTTTCTCGTTAACTAATGTGGCACCCATATCTCGAGTTTCTTTGTGTGGTTCCATACTTTTTGGTTGTACAATGTTTAACACTTAGACAATCGTGCTGACTCGATAATATCCATTGTTCTATCGACATTTCCGAAAATTGGACACCCACGCCATGGATCATCTTTTAAATCAGAACGGAACCGACGAAACCAAAATTGTACATGACTACCTGTTATAATTATTCACATTTCCAGTGCCTGACCTACGCCCCTTTCGGAGTAAAATTGTAAAATATGGCGCATCTTCTCTTTTCAGGTGTCCATCTTTGACATGTGCTCAAAGACTACGGAGTTAAGTTATCAACACTTCCTCCATGGTATTTTTAACTACTAAAATATCATCTTTCTAACGCCAACCCGCGTAATCCAATCACTAAAGCCATCTACGAAGGGAACGACTTCTCAAATCAGTCTTCAAAATCATGATTTTTAAGCTTATCAAGCTCAGCTTTAATTATTTCGTCACTGCTATTGAAGACCTTTCCTTTTGAATTTCCGGTAAATTTTGGAAACTAGCAGAAATTACAAGGTGCTATATCCGGAAAATATGGTGCAGGACATATTTCTTCGATTCCAGAAATCGCAATCAAATTACTCATTATTTCAGCTGTGGGTGATGGCGCGTTGTCATGATGTAAAAAGTAGCGCACCAAATAATCTTTATTCATGTTTTCCATGTGTACCATTTTGCAGTTACCGTCTTACCCTTTTCCAGTGAAATGGCAGATACGATTTTAGTTCGGGTGAAGTAAACTGACATCATTACTTATTCTGGTGATTTTTGGATTAGATTTGACGTGTGAGTTTGCTCCCGCTGGGCTCCTTATCATGGACTGCTGTTTGGTTTCTGGATCGTACTTATAGAACCGAGATTCGTTACCACTGACGACTTTACTAAAGTTGCTAGACTGAACATTATCGAATTTATTTGTGAAAAATTTAGCAATATGCAATCGAGCCCTTTTGGGGCCTCATTTAAACTCATGAAGCAGATTCATAACCAAAAATTTCGTCAATCGTGGGTCTTCGTCGAATTCGGACTTCACCAGACATACAGAGACGTCATCAGTGGAAGTTTTTGGTCGGCCTTTTCGGGCCTCATCGTCTACGGAAAAATGTCCCGTCTAGAATCTTCGGAACCACTCAGAAATAGTCTTTAAAGACGGTGCAATCGTTCCATATGCAATTTGGCATTCACTGAATATTTTTGTTGGCTGTAAATTACGCCGAAACCCGATGAGAATCACATAGCGAGTTTCTGTTTGCGTTGGTGATGGAATTTCGTCTGACCTATCCTCAGCTATCTTGCCTCTTTTTCACATGGCGAATTTCTTCTTTGTTTCCACTTTAGCCAATCGTTCGAAAATTTGGTAGGAAGACTAATAAAGTAAATGCAAAGGATTTGGTATTTTTAGATTAAACAAAAACAAATTGAACCAAACTTTTGTTAGCCATTCGTATTGTAAAAATAATGGATTAATTTTTACTATAACAATTGTACAAAAAATTAAGTTAAATTTTCTAATTGCGGTCGCGCCTCGGCAGGGAATGTCAAGCCCTCCGAGTGTATTTCGAACATGAAATAAAGGCTCTTCGTAAAAAAACCTTCAGTCGTTCGGAGACGGCTTAGTAAAAACTGTAGGTCTGTTGATTAGTTTGGATATTGATATAGACGTGTAAACAATGAGTTCACTAACGCCGAAATTCGCTCTATTTTAAAGTTTTCCTTCGTTAAAGGCAAATCCGCTAGAGAAACGTTCCGTGATATTAATGGTTTTTTGGGGGATGGTACTCTATCACTTCGAACCGCGGAGGAATGGTTTCGACGATTCAGAGCCGGTGAAAACGACACCAAAGATAAGCCCGCCGGCGGAAGACCTGTGACGACAAATACCGATCAAATCTTGGAATACATCGAGTTAGACCGGCATATGGAATCTCGGGACATCGCCCAGGAGAAGGGAGTTAGTCACCAAACCATTTTGAACCATCTGCAGAAGGCTGGATACAAAAAAAAGTTTGATGTTTGAGTGCCGCAAAAAAACCTTGTGGACCGAATCTACGCCTGCGATATGCTGCTGAAACGGAACGAACTCGACCCATTCTTGAAGCGGATGGTGACTGGCGACGAAAAATGGATCACATACGACAATATCAAGCGAAAACGGTCGAAACGAAAAGGCCGGTGAATCGTCCCAAACAGTGGCCAAGCCGGGATTGACGGCCAGGAAGGTTTTGCTGTGTGTTTGGTGGGATTGGAAGGGAATCATCCATATGGCCAGACGCTTAATTCTACCATCTACTGCGAACGACTGGACCGCTTGAAGCAGGCAATCGACCAGAAGCGTCCAGAATTGGCCAACAGGAAGGGTGTAGTGTTCCACCAGGACAATGCCAGACCACACACTTCGTTGATGACTCGTCAGAAGCTACGGGAGCTCAGATGGGAGGTTTTATCACATCCACCATACAGCCCGGACGTAGCGCCAAGTGATTACCACCTGTTCCTGTCCATGGCGAATGCCCTTGGTGGTGTGAAGTTGAACTCAAAAGAGGCTTGTGAAAAGTGGCTGTACGAATTCTTCGCAAATAAGGAGGGGGGCTTATACGAGGAAGATATTATCATCGAACAAAACGGCGCATATTTTAACTAAATCCGATCACTGTAACACTTTTTATAAAGCATTCAATGAAGAGCAAAGAAGTGGAAGATAGATATTTGACAACCTTATATTATATTTATATATTTTACTTATATAACTTGGTAATAGATTAGTTGATATTCCGGAAATTTAGTCTGCCATGGAATATTTTTCTAAATTATCAACTTCCTAACAGGAATGACACTTCCTTTTATGCATGTTTATCACTATTTAGGGAAATTTTTTTTAAACCTTCAAATTATTTATTAATAAAAAATAAATTACCATTGCCATTATACATATTAACCGCAAACTTATACATAGATACACACATACATATATACACGTACATGCAAATAAGCGTTTGATTATTTTCCCATTACTATTCAGGCTCAATTCAAGACAAAATTTTAAAATTGGCTTTATTCAAAAGATTGAATTAGCGAAATTGTAACAATCGTTTAAATAATTGCATAATTTGGCATTCCACGTTTACCCTCATAGTATTGAGCCTGTAATTTTCCACACAAAAATAGTAGTTTTCCAAACTTAACGCCTGCTTTAAAAGCCACCTCCACCAACACAATGCACTGCAGTTTAGACCAGACGGTAAGCGTGAGACAACCGTTCTCAATGGCTATTGAGCCAATTTGGTCACCACAACTAAATACCGGCTTTAGTATGCGTACACTAAAGTAACCAAAATTATTAGCGTTTAATGCTAACAGCAAAAAAGCACCCTTGCAAGTCGGTGACAAGTTGTGGAGAATGTTTGCTTTGAGCGCGTTCAATCGTTGCAATGCCGCAAATAGTGAAACAAGTGTGCAAATTGCGTTGGTTCTATGCACTCGTGCATGTAAAAAATTCGTTGTGAAAATTAACTGAAATTAATATGAAATTCGAGTTTAACGTTTTATATAAATCAAAATAAAAATATATATAAAAATAAAAATAAAATTTAAAATAAAAATAAAAATTAAAATAAAATAAAAAATAAAAATAAAAATAAACATAAAAATAAAAAATAAACTTAAATAGAAATAGAAATAAAATCAAAATAAAAAATAAAAAATAAAAATAAAAATAAAATTTAAAATAAAAATAAAAATTAAAATAAAATAAAAAATAAAAATAAAAATATAAATAAAATTTAAAATAAAAATAAAAATAAATATACAAATAAAAAATAAACTTAAATAGAAATAGAAATAAAATCAAAATAAAAAATAAAAAATTAAAATTAAAATTAAAATAAAACTAAAAATAAAAATATATATAAAAATAAAATTAAAAATAAAATAAAAATAAGATTTAAAATAAAAATCAAAAATAAAATAAAAATAAAAATAAAAAATTAAATTAAAAATAAAAATAAAAATAAAAATAAAAAGCAGTAGTTTCTAAAATGATTCGCATTTATTATAAATTAATACTCTTGTGCTGTTGTTGTTGTACACTTGGAAAAGGTTAAAATTGTAATAAATTTAAAATCATATTTTTGCGTGCGTCTGTGTGTAATGCAATACTAAATGAAATAATTTACAGCCAAACTTTGGTTTCTCGAGAGGGAAACACTCGATTTTTTGATGCGAAATGGAAATTTTGACATAAATCCCCTTCACTGCCGTTTGCTGCGCACAGATGTCTGTCCACATAAATACTTGGGATTTCACCTTTATACTGAGTGAGTGTTTTGAGCATTAAAAAATTTAATTTTATTGTGTATTTTAATGTGTCATTCATTACGTTGCTTTTATATTTCAGTATTAAAAAAACAATCATCAAAAATCGATTTAACTTTTTTCAAAATATTTTTCATTAAGATCTATATACCTTTGCATGCGAAACACAGTTTATTATAAGCCTCCGACGATAGCAATTAAAAAAATTAATTTTCCATAATTTTGAATGTCATGAATGGGCATCCGAATGTTAGTACGCTGTGATATTCATTTGGCTACTTTAGGAAATAGTCCTGGTAATTAAAGCCAAAACAAAAGTTTCTGTGAATGAAATAGTAAATATCATCACAAAATCACTTTAGTGTAATAGAATAAAATCCAAAAAGTGATTTGCTATTATTTAACTAAATAACACAAGATAGATAATTATAAGAGACTCCGCATTAAAATTTCTACCCCAATCTATGCAATTTACATTCGTTGCGCAATGTTTTCGTCAGTGTATTTATGCATTCTTATCCTGGCCTAACGCAGCCATTTGTCCCTTCCCACAGCGTTTCAATATTGTTCTACGATCTTTGCATATTTAAACTTTACGATCAAGCGATTTGATGGATGTATGCCTACATAAGCCTTACTGCCGTGCGCGTTTTCCCATTAGATTTTTCGAACATAGACAATAAATTTTTTTCGTTCCTTAGATCGTATATTGTACTTCGCAATATCTTTGAAAGTGAGATAGACATTAGGCGATGACGAATTTGTGACGTGTCCTAAAAGTATAGTCGTTTATGGTTCTTTATTGAAAATTAATTATTTGACTCCCGTAATGTAAAATTTCTGTGGTTTATCGGCGATCAAGTTATCGCAAAATCGCCAAATGATTTTTACCATCAAAGGAATATTGTAGCGACCGAAACAAATGGTACAAGATCCGGGCTATATGTGGGTTCATCAAAACTTCTTCACCAACTTTTATGTGTCAGCAAAAATGTATGTCTTCTGTCTTTGTCGTGATAAAACCTTTTTTGCTTCAATTGTGGACGTTTTCGTTTTTTTTTGGAGAGCAAGTAACAAGTTAATTGTTGACAGCAGAATTGCAGATTCCACAGGTTATACCTAAACCATTATAGACAAAAACCTTTCAATCCCACGTTGCACTTAGCATCACCTTGATTACCTTCAATTCAGACTAACTGAGGATCAGCGCTTCAGAATTGTTTTGATATTTTAGTGTTTCTGAAGCATTTCACTGGAGGTAACACAATCGTTCATTTTTTTTTTGCGTTAATTCATGTTGCACTAAAATATCAAGCTTCTTTGAGTAGCCAGCCTTTTTTAAATGACTCCAAACTGTCATCACTTTCCTATATCCTAACGGCTCGCGTACGGGCCTTGCGCCGTCTGTTCCAGAATTTGATTGGCTATTTGAGTGCCTGGAAACGAGTTGCATCTTTTGGCATCTTCACCGTTAAAACACGCTAATTCTTTTTGGTACTTTTTGCAACGATTTTACTTTTTTCATTATAGGAAATCGTCTCATAACGTATCACAGGAATAATAATTTACAGCACCATATTCATGAAAAATATTGCTTGAAATGTCAACTTTGACACAATCGGGTTAGTGTTGCAAGAAATGAGTGACAAAAACTGTGGAGAGTATTTAAATATTTAATATTTTAATTACAAAAGATTCCTCAATCTCAGAAGAAGTGAAGAAAATTTGCAAAAAATTATACAGCGCTATCAATTTCGCGGCTTGATAAGTACAAGGAAATTCAGCCTTCTGGCATCTGTAAAACGTCACTCTTAAACCAAACATATTTTGTTTTAGCTAAAAGTTCGGCATTTATGAAAATGGAAGACCGAATATGTATATTTCTCGGCGTTCTCAAGAAGTGGGAATCTCTTACAGTATTTGTCACTTGAACTTATACCTCTCTTCATATAAATTACAGCTCACAGCACAATTGAAGCTAGCTGTCCATTACCAATGCCATATATGTATATATTTATTGGTTGCTTGAACAAGCACTTGACGACGAGTTTTCGAACGAATTTTTCCAAAATCTTTCCGAAAAACCTCAAATGACTGAAGAGAGGTCATTACCAGACTAAGTCTTCGATGCTTAGAGCTTACTTCTTTAAAAAGGATACCAACGCATTATAGTCGTACATATAATAATCGACTTTTTTGTGACCGGGAATTGAAGAACACGACTTGGGCAATACGTGATTTCAACATGATGGTGAAAGATGCCACATAACTCAAATATATATATAATTTTATTGCAAGAGAAATTTCGCGGTCGCATAATCTCCCGCCTTGGCGATGTCAATTGACCACCGAGATCGTGCGATTCGACGGCGTTGAACTTTGTTTTTTTGGCGAAAGTCCATTTTTATGCGGATAAATCTTTAGTTCTTGAGCACTTTAAGACCAACATTCGTCATGTTAAGGCTGAGATAGCATTAAATTCGTGCCAAAAAGTGGTCGAAAAATTTCTCAAAAAAGAAATTTCATGCAAAAAAATATTCTAAATGCGTTTTTAAGATTTATTTTCTAAGCTGCAAATTGGCTAACCCTGTATTATATTTAACGAGAATTGCACTAATTAGAGTATTCAAAAGAACAAAACAACAAGTAGAAAAAATGTTGAATTAACTTTTTAATTCGCTATTAAACGAAAGTGCAAGTAAAATGCAAGCAATAAAATCAAGTTACGCTCTTTGTGCGAGAGAATTTTATAGCGATTCAACACTTGAATAATGTGCGCAAACAGACGAAAAGAAGCTGTTACCATGAACTTGGCCGGCTTTGCAGAAAGTGTCATCTGCCAAAATGCAACGCTTCCAAACCTGCTTCCAGCCACTCAAGGGGAATGTCCTCCGCTAACGCGCGTTGACTGTTTGAGCCAATTTCCTTATGCGCTATTGTTACATTGTAGCCACTCAAGAGCGCAGGAAGCCAAGTGTAACGTACAAACAAAAAGAAGCGAAAAAAATGCGCTTTCCAATGAGCAAGTGATAGTATGAATGGAAATGCTGTTGCGCCGCCAATCGGCTCGTACGTGTATGTATGTATATATGTACATACATATATTGTTGCGGTTGGCGCTGCGATATATATGAGTTCATGGGCAATCATTCAATGGCGCGCTTTTAATCGCAACGCAAGCAGACGGAGTAATGTGAAAGAATTAGCTAGTACAAAGTTGTTGTTGTCTTTAGTCAGTACATAATTGAAAAAATACGAAAATACAAAAAAGACAACACAACACAAAAGTAAAAAAAGCTCGATCAAAAATGTTTTTGATGATTTCCTCTCGGTTCCTGCGAATTATAATAATAAAAAACTACGAAACTATAAAAGTTAACAGTTTCAAATATGTAAAAAAAAAATATGATGTTTAAGAAAGCTCAACACTTTTGGTCAATACAAAAGGAAAAGAGAATTCTTAAATAAAAGAGCTAAGCAACAAACCCGATTCAATGCGCGTATAGCAGTGTTGTCACTGCTGTAGAGGAAATTCCCACTTGTCGAGATTTTTTATGAAAAATAATTGTTTTAGGGGAAAAGAGACAGAAAGAATGTAGAGAATTTTAAGCCAAATTAAAAAAAAAACGTTCTATATATAAAGACTTGTGGTTTCCAAAATACAGGCCTGTATTTTGACATCTGTCAAAACCAAACATGTTTTGTTTTATTTATAAAACGTGGCCATGTTTTGTGCTTTAAAAAGAGGCAATGGCGCCTCACAATCATCCACGCTACTCAAGTAATCAAAACAATTTTAAAGAAATTTGAAGAGACTGTATAGATTAAAGAAGCTTAAGACCTGTGCAACATCGTTTCGCTCGTTCGATCTCAAATATCGCTTCTTTAAATGATAGTGATGCCGAAGACCCGAGTCTATTTCGTGACGTTTTTAAGAGCATATAAAGTCCAGCTTACACAACGATTGAAGCCAGCTGACCATTCACAACACCGTTCATACGTCGTATGGCAGCTTAAACAAAAAGCAATGGACGGCGGTTTTTGCGAATAAATCTTTCCTCAGCGCCGAGTCACTTTATTCGGTCGGGAAATGCATAAATAAAAAAAAAAATTTTACTGTTGAGACTCCAAGAACTCCCAAATAATTACACCCGAAAAAAAAATTCTACTTCCAAGTGAACTCTTTGAACCGGACCTTACTTCTTTGAAAACGACAATGGCGAGATTGTCACTATCAATTGGTAGCCTTACGGTCGAATAATAACTGACTTATTTGGTTAGCATTTGAAGAACACAAAATGGTACCACATGCCATATAACACGCGCAAATATGTCTTTACTGCAAGAGAAATTTTCCAGCCGCGTAATCTCTTGTCTTAGCGGTGTCCATTGGCCACCAAAGTCGTGCGTTTTGACAAAGTTGCACTTTTTTACGGTGCTAGGCGAAATAACGTTCTTATGCGGATAAACCGTTAACTCTTGAGCACTTGTAAGCCAACATTCGTTAGGTAAAGGCTGATACCGCCCAATATGGGCCAAAAAGTGGTTGAAAATTACCCCAAACTGATTGAAGTATGTAAAATTCACGAGGCGGTAATTTTAATGAAGGAACTTAAAATTTTATCAAAAAAATTAACTCTATATAAAGTTTAAAGACGTTTTACTGGGCCCTGATTAGAGCTCTAGATACTTGAGAATAGAGCAGTAAAAGCAGTAAGAGCAGCTCAAATGCTCAAATGTTTGTTTGAATATTATAAATTTTCAACGTTTTTTTTTTTTTTGAAAGCAATCTCAGAATAAAGTGAAATTTTTCAGTCGAAATAGTAGAAAATGCTTGATTGCTCAGTGCAATGAAAAAATATTGAACTCTACTATTAAGACGGAGATTTCCTTTGAATACAGTAATATTTAAAGAAATCGCATTTTGAAGTCATGAAATTTCCCTGATTGGCACAAAAATGAAAAAATTAGTAAACTTAAAATATTTAATAAATATTATTTT